TTGAATGGAAATGTAATCAAACTATTTTTCCTGTTATTCATAGCAATGCATCTAATGTACCATTGAGATAAACTGGATCTTGGCTCCGACTTTGAAGTAGCTGCACAAATGAGTTCATGAACACAAGAACTGTTTCACTAACTTCCTCCTAAGCAGCCCCTTTGCCTGTGGGAGACATTTGTGGCCTAGGAGAATTAAAATGCCTACTTGTGTGCCGGTTCCTGCTGAGGTAGGCTGGAGACAATTCTAAAATCAGACCATAGCATGAAAAGTTATTTATATGTCCCCACCTCCCTTAAAGAGAAGAAAAAGTATAAGGCTTTGTAAGGGAAGGGAAGACCATATTCACCTATGTCAGGTTAATTCTGTTTGGAAAAATCCCATAAGAAAACTATTTATGATTTTAGTACATAATCTTAGTGAAACTTTATGTTTCGCTTAGTGTAGCTGCACTTCAAGACTTTCATAGTGCGATCCAACAGATGCCCACTCAGAACTAAGTTCAGTGGAGCTTACTACCACGTGACTGGTAAGCCTAAGATTATAACACTGTACTAGAGCTCTCCTCAACCTGCAAAATAGAAAATAAAATATAAAATTGCTGCCCTTCAGGTACATGAGCCCTCAGTCTTTTTTCTTTTAACCACAACAGAGGAAAGATATGAGACTAAATTGTGAGAGCCAGTGTGGCGTAGTGGTTAAGAGCATGGGACTAGGACTCAGGCGATCCGGGTTCGAGTCCCCGCTCGGCCATGGAGCCAACTGGGTGACTTTGGGCCAGTCACAGACTCTCGGCCCAACCAGGGTTGTTGTTGTGGGGATAAGATGGACGGGAATGATGTAAGCTCCCTTGAGCCCTTTGTAGGAAAAAGGCAGGCTATAAATCGAAAAAAAAAAATAAATTCCAAAACTCAGGTTAGTTGTAAATTGAATTAAAAGACCAAACACATTTGCAACCTTGACAATCTTTTCTTAGTTGTATGGAGGTGGGGTGGGGGGGAGAGAGAGAGAGAGAGCGTGCAATAACCTCAAAATAAATAGATTTCATACCTTGGCTGAACCACATCATCTTATTAGAGAAATATTAGCCTCACAAGGTAAAATATTATAATAAAGCTGTAATAGAAAAGATGAAAAAGACATGTGGGATTAATTGTCTTCACATGCAAGTATGACTTCTTTGTCCACAAATGATTTACACCTGTATTTACACTTGCAATCCTACTGCCTTGTACACTTGCCAGGTGATACTTTGGAATAGCTGGCTAAAACAAATGTCTCCAGGTTCCAGTTAAATCTTGAATGGCAATGGGAGATGAAGCAGCCATTGAACTATTTTCTGATCAGATATGCATATGTTTATATTCAAAACTTGCAATAATTTTGCCTTGCCAGTACACTAGAATTTTACAATCATGTCTATGGGTCTCAAGAGAGAACTCTCAATTCTCTTATTATAGCACCAGGAATGAGAGACAATCTGTGAACATACTTTTTCAGACCTGATGGTGTTGAAGACAGTCACAGTTTTCAGAGCAGAGGCTGGCAATACTATACTATACCTTGATGTATATATATGGAGATCCACTATTTTACACTGGCAGGTATGGTTGCCCAACAAGGGGGCTCTTTCCTCCCCAGGAACTTGATTCATGGAGCCAGTCTAGAGATGAATACTTTTAATTGACAGGTTGGCTTGCATGTGTGTGATACGGAAGAATAAAAAAGATTTCATATTACTTTTATCTATATGTAATCCTAAAGATTTTACATAGTGGAAATGGTTCTCCAACAGTGGACTTTGTCATTGTCTTCTGCTTCTTCTTTCTCCAGCAGAAGCTTGATTCAAACAGTCTGCCTACAAATGTAAACTTTCAAGTGATAGGTTGGCTTCTATGTGTGAACCAGCCACTGAAGAGCAAAGAACTTTCTGATCACCTAAAATGTTGTAGTTGATGAAGGCATGTCAAGTATTCAGTGGTGACCCCCCTTCAGACCTTCCCACCCAGACAGAAAGCTCTAGGGTTGAGCAGTTAGCAGATGGGGGCACTGGGAAGAAACTTGAATGCATGGCTCCCTTCCTTTTAGCCTTACTGTGAGCAGACTGAATGCCTTTTGAATCATCAAGCTCTTCATAGTCAACATAACTTAAATACATGTGTGGAGCTGTTGTCTGTACAGTATGGTGGACCTTACCTTGATCCGTAAGTATTAGATATTCTGACAGTTACTGTGTAGTCTCTGGACTGGCTGCTAATGTGGCTAAGGTTGGAGACACATCAAAGCTCATGTTAACAATGATTCTTAACATAAGGGCAGGATTGTATGGGTGAAACCATTCCTTAGACTACCAGGTCAAGAGGAGTTCAAGGCACGAACCTATGGCCTTCCAACATTGTATAAGGTACCATAGACTTATCTGAAGATCCAGTTCTGACATCCTTTGAATGCAGAGTCCCCTGTCTCGCATCCTCCTCACAGTCAAGAGTGGAAAAAACTGCTCTGACTGCCACTTTGAGGTACAAATTGCCTCAGAAAGTAGGAAAGGGGGGGTGGGGTGGGGTTAGGCAGGCAGTGGGCATGAGACTGAGAACGACAGGTTATGCCATTGCCAGGGAATTGAGAAGTGAATTCTCTCTGCTCCAGAATTATTCTTCTAATTCGTGGAAAGGATGGAGGTGGGTTGTAGAGCTTGCATGCTGCTCCTCAGCTTATCCCCCATGTGCTAATATAAGCAGCTGTAACTGAAAACTACTCCTGTGAACCAATATGACATAATGTGGAATGCTTCTGCTTTTCCAGAATTCCCAGGGCTTTCTCTGAAAATATGAATGGGAGAACCAGGAATGTTCGAGCTTGTCAAGATTCTCTCACTTCACTTCACTTCACTTCACTTCACTTCACTTCACTTCACTTCACTTCAGGTTTTTTTTTTTTTTTTTGCTCATTCCTGTTTTTGCTTAGGATCTGGCTGTTTCAATTTATTTGGGTGGGGGAAATGCCCAGTTCTGTGTGCAGTTTTCCAAAGTGTAGACTTTCTGAACATTGAGTAAAGTGTGCAAGTACACTATTTGGGTGGTTGTGTGTGATTGACAGTTTGGGAATTTACAAACATTTTGTTTCCAAAAATTCACTCTCATTTGCTTTTGTATTTGGGTTTGTGAATGGGATATGTTTGGACGATTTCAGAAGCAAAATAAATTCTCATATGCTCCTAGTTGGAAGTGTTTGCTGTAGGTAGGATGCTTGTAAGCCATTTAAGCAAATGACCAGCAATGAAGGCAATTATGTGCATGGTATTTAATTGATGGTGTTCAGTAGTTTTGAGTATACCTAGGGAAAAACTCAACTATATCTACACACACGAACACACAAATTATATTGGTACTCTTTGTGTAATTGTATGAATTGGAGGTGTGAACTACTTGGAGTATGAACTACTTCTTCTGTTGTAAGAAATCTGCACATAGGGTCAGTGGAAATTCTGGGATTCGTAGTTCCAGCACCAGCAGGAAAACAATGCTCATCATGAGAGAGTTGACTGCTGCTGGTACCCTCATCTTCCTAACTACAAGTCTTGAGGACTGGGGAAAAGGGGAGGTGGAGGCACTGGCAGTGCTTGTGGGGTTCTTAACAGAATCAAGGCATATACTTTCTGCTATAGCAGGCAGTCCCCACATTGATTTTGTTAGCAAGAAATTGAGCAACTAGGAGTCTCATATATGAATTCTTGCAATGCTCTTAGCACATATTTCAAATCAACTGGTTTATTTTCTGTTGTAGTACCATAGCCATAGTGGTATGTAAGCATTATGCCTACAATTTCACTGTTTTTTTAAAAAAACATGTTGCAGTTATAAATAACAGAGATGTCCAGGTATCACTTATTTCATGGATTTTGTGTATTCTGGCTAGAAAGACTGCATGTGAAATGTAAGACTGAAACTCTGCTTCTGGATATTGTGATAAAATTGGGGTAGGCAATATTTTGGGCTTTGTGGCAATGTGAGAAGCTGTTGTGGGCATCAACACAAAAATGACTACCACAGAAGTCTGGGCTTAGCAGACACAATTGATGTAGTCCCTTCCCTTAATGCAATCCCTTCCCAGATGCACACAGCCTTTTCTCGTGGCTGAATAGGCTGCAGAAAAAGGCCTTTGCCTGCAGCCCCCCTCCATCTTCATTTCCTAGGAATGTCTCTTAAAGGGTAAGGAGATAAGTTGATTTTTTTCAAGATTGGAGGAGCCGGGTACCTTGGCAGGTGCACTGATGCCTGTGAGTTGCCTGTCACTCCTAAAGAACCTAAGCAACTGTGAGAAACTGAATGTGCTAAATATACATCCAGTTCTTGACTTCCTGTCTAAAGTGAGAGCAAATAGGCAGTAATCGTGCACCTCTTCATGATTATTTTAATTATTTTTAAGAACTCCTACTTTGTAAAAGCAGCTTTTTAATTTGATGTTGAGGTCAAATCAATCCCAGTTAATCCATACCAACTGAACCATGGAATGTGAGGAGATTAAATTCTACAAACAGAAACACAAAGCAATGCTGTTAAAGATCTGTAAGCACCCCCCCATGTTATTTACTGAGAGATCTCAGTGACCCCTACAATCTTACACATAGATGCTTTCTTTTACTTAAAATAGCTTTGAAAGATGAACAGAAAATCAATTCTGAATGGCTAACCCCTCCTTATTCTAATGGTTAAATCAACATAAAGCAGCTAACGTATTGCTAAATGAGAGTTCTATAGTAACTTGAATGCAGTTACTTCCCCTTCCATTATTTTAACCAAGGTTTTTCTGACCCCAGTGCTCTTGAAATGGAATATGTAAAGCACACCAACATGTGGGTGTGCATGTACATACACACGCACAAACACACACTAGGTTGGTCTGAAAGAAGCTCTGGACAATCTACACTATTAGAAGATGACATAAACTATAGCATGATGCAGATTAAGGGGGGAATAGTTAGCATATACTCAAATACCAAGTTTGGAGTAGGAGACCTGCATGATTTTAATTCTCTGACAGGATTATTTCATGGTGGTGTGGATCATGAGCATTTATATTTTCCAAATGTGTATCCCTTAATCCAGACACATATGCAAAAGAGAATAAAAAGTAGCTGTACAATTATTAATCGGAAAAATGTATGCACATGTTCACAGCAATAGCAAATCACAACAACTATTTTTCCAGAGCTGAGAATCAAACTGGGGCTTTGTGTTAACAAGCTGCACACCAATTACATGGCTTTCCCACAGACTTTGCTCCCAAGATGAGCTGAATGCATGAAAAACAAGGAGAGTTAGCATCCATCAAAGCTTTCTTCCATGTTAGGAAGTGGCTAATTTGTCATTTCACACTCAAAAAGGCATGAAAAGTAAAATGGTATGTTTGTATGTGTGCAGGAGGGAGGGAGAGCAGAAAGGGGGCAAGGCAAACAACGGGAGTGTTGCCACTAAGAAGGCTTTGTGGGGACAGCCTGCAACTGATATGATATGTTTGATCTCATTTCTGGGTCTGCAAGCCAGCTTCAAGGAAACTGCAAGACTAAATCCCAGGGTCAGCCTGGCGTAAATCACACCAGCATCGAACCAGATTCCCACTCAGTCAAGATGACTGTAGCTGCAATCCTATACATTCATTGCCCAGGAGTAAAGGTCACTGAGTGGGAATCACCTTGGAGTAGACATGTACATGTATTAAACAGCAAAAAAACCTGAACAAAGCAATTAAGGATTTACAAAATTGTTAAGCTGCCCAAATCTAAAGTGTGCGTTATTTACACATGGACTTTGTTTTCATTTTATTTTAGTAAAAATATAAAAACTTAATTCCCACAATGCACCACTGTCTCTAAAATACACAAGACCTTTGCACAAAGAATACACAGTGGAGTAAAATACTATTTTCTGCCATGAGATAGCAAATTGCTTCCCTCATTTTTCTTGGTGAAGCCAATTTTCTTTCAGGGTTTGAATCAAACAAGCAAATGCAACGAAGCAAAGGAGTTAAAGTGGCATGCTGAGATGAGACGTGGGTGGGAGGGGATCTTCAGACAGTAGTGCTGACAAAAATCCCATGACTTACTAGTAAGAATTGTGTACACACCTCCCACTTACTTCTTAAGAATTTACTGTTTGCTGGCAGTTCTGATTTGAGACATAGTGCATTTCAGCAGATAGCCTTCAAACCAGTTGTTACTTTGACCTAACAAATAAAGCTCTACATTTCTCCCTATAAAGCTAGGATTACATTTGCTTATTATGAATACAACAGTGATATTACCCATGACCTATTCTATCCATGCTGGGCCCAGGAAATGCATGTTTGTAGTTGAGGAAATGAACCCCTGTATGGTAATAGTCAAGGAGCGGGGTGGCATTCTATGCTAGGTGAAAGATTCCAGACTCTTACCAAGGATGGGGCCACCTCTATCCTGAATTTTGGAAAAGGTCTTGGGAGCCATATCCCCAAGGCCAAACGCAACCAGCATAGTGTAGCATCAAGCTCTTACTATGAGTCACTAAGCCTTAAGAGAGTCATCTCAATCTTCTAGAATGAGCAAAAGATTTGTGTTTGGGGGAAAAGGGGTAAGACCCAGGAAAGCCTGATCTGGCCCTTGAGCCAGAGTTCCACTCCAGTGATCTACAACTATGTAGGCAAACTCACTGGATCTGTTCCAGCTCCGAGAGATGCATATATAATTTGTCCAGTACCCCACAGCCTACTTTGAAAAGTAGGTGCCTCTGTGATGGAGCCTAGCAGTTGTTCAAGAAGCTCATGGGATATATTTTTACATGGAAATCAATGGAAAAGCCATTGAACACATTACATAAATTAACTCTTCACACAGTTCAGATCTGAGAATGACTGCATGAAGTTCCTGAAGAAATTTTCCACAACTGCTAGTGTATTCCTCCACAGGGTCTCATATATATTAATGACTATGCATTGACTGGTCCTTCTGAAAAGCAACACCAATAGGGAGGGCCCACAAAACCTAGCAAAAGTATTTTCACTTGCAAAATTGTCCTTTCTTTAAATAAAATATGCAAACTATGAAGACATGAGCCTAGTGTGTTGGCTGGCTGGTTGGTGGTGCCTCCGGTTGCGTTTCTTCTTCATCTCTTGGACATGTTTCCACTTTGGCCCACCTCTGTTACGCTGCCGTTTCTTTTCTCGGTGCCACATCTGCTCACAGTACTCATCAAGGCTGAAGCTGGGACTGCTGAGAAGCTGGATGTAATCCTTATACCGCAGTCGTGACTCAACTTGCAGATCCCGTAGCCGCCCCTCTTCATCTTCTGTTTTCTGAGAGCTTTCCATCTGTCCATTCTCTATGACATTTAAATTTAACTTCACAATGGTTTGCACAAATGTGTGCTCCTGTGCTTTACAATAGTATGTCCCTGTGTCCTTTTTCAACAAGCTGCGAATCAACAGGCCATATTCTGTCTTGATAATTCTTTCATCCGGTTTCAGCTGTTGGATAAAAAACAAAGTACTGTAAACATTACTGAGTTATTTTATCCTAAAAATAGTGGGTGTCCAAGATCAAAAAGGAATATCTGAGACAGATGACCAGAAACAGTATCTAGAGCTCAGGAAGTCTTACTGAGACGTGATGCTATGCAAGATAACTAATCCGAGCAACATGTAAAGTGGTTGATACCTTTATGCCTAGTCACTTCACCTATGAGTGCTTTCACTCAACAGGGAATCAGCTGAGCACTGTGCTGGTTCTTGCGTCCTCAGCAGATGAGGGCCCCATGTGATGCCAGCCACATGGAATGCTGTGGGGATACACTTGCTTGGTGTCCTGTTTACAATCAATTGCACAAGGACAGTGAGCCTGAAGGGTATACTTAGATGTTCCAGTACAGCTGTGATGATACAAAGTCTTCTCAAGCACAACAAGGAAAGGTCAAGTTTAACTAATGGCTGCCTACCCAGACAAGCTACTCGAGGTCTCCAGTGTGATGTCCCACTTGGTGCCTACAAGGCTCTCTGGCCCTATTTAACTGGCATGCTGCAAAGTAAAGCACTATGTGCCCTTGGGATTGAAAAAGTGGGCTTGTGTTTTGGAGCCACATCTCAATCTCTTCCTCTTTGGCACGTTACTTTTCTTTTATTCTTACCAGTCGTGGTCCTGGAGGTGAGCATTTGGTGAATGACCATGCCTGCTATGATAGCCATTTTATGAATGGGCAAGTTTTGCCATGGCAGTCATCTTATTTATTTATTTAAAGCTTTTATATACCGTCCCATCACTGACATCATCTTGTAAGTGCTTTTGACATACCTACTTGTCAAAGGGGTTGTTCTTGGATATGTTAATGGAGAAAGAAATGTTTCCTACTGCATTAATTCTACGCTGCTTGGAATACTGACATTTTTCTTATTCATTATTTGTAGGACTCCATGTAGCATTTCACCCATGCCTAGAAATGATGCAGTCTCTTATCCTCCCAGCTCTTCTTTTTTGCTTGTTTTGTAGATTACAATAATATTAAGGGAACAGAAAGTCCATAGGCTTTGTATTATCCCTTCCCTGTATTGCCCCATGCAATCTTTTCTTCTTGTGAAAAAGTAATATAGAGACAGTTGACTGTCCCTTTCAGAGAGGGTGCAAAATATAATTTCACACAACAGAACTGCAGAAGAGCCAAGAGCAAGAGAATTACTTGCGAACAAGAAGCATAACTCATTTAGTCTATTTTTCTCACAACTGGAGAGAAAAGATGAAAAAAGACACAGAAATTGGAAGATCAGGCCATAAGGTTATTAAACTGCAGCCCATAAGCAGATCTTCCAAACATATCTGACTGATTTCACTGACCACACTTGCCCAATGGTTGGTAAAGCAAACTGAAAGCAGCAGATGTCACAGGCCAATGTTCCCTCCCAGCATCACCAAGCCCATTAAGCTGCCAATGTGGTCTGGAAGTGAGACACTCTGCCCACCATCCTCTTTGGTGAAGGTGCCCAAGCAAGGTGCATTTCTGGCACACGCGTGTCTGTATTATAGTCCCTCCTAAATGTCCCAATACCAGCCCAGGCTAGTTGTGACAGAGCAGTAGAGCAGAGCCAAGTGCCTAATATGACAATCCCATGTATGTTATAGCAGAAACACAGACACTCAAGCACCACTCAGGAATGCAGGTATTTCTCCCTATGTCAATCATTGATTGGCAATTGTCCCAAAGCAAAGAAAGCAAACAGCGAAGACACAACTGAGGATTAGAGATGGGACAGCATATGAGGCAAACAGTGGTTCTGATTTCAATTCATGCCATAGGAACAGAGCAGAATGAAAGGACAATGCTCCTTCTTTGCAGTCTGTGACTTGGCATCTTTCCAGGATCAACCACCCTGCTGCCTGGCCTCCATGGACTGCAAGGGGTTGCGATGCAGGCAAGGATCCACGAATGTCTAGAACTGAACAAAGCTGACAAGTTGGATCTCACCCCTTTCTCCATAGTTAGTTCAATCAGATTTCTGCTTCTCTTTTGCCGTTTTTCAAGATTGCATGAACATGTCTATGTATTTATCAAAATGTATGCATTTTGCATACAGTTTTGTATAATTGTTTCAAATTATATGCATTTTTGCAGGTCAATCTCCAAGAAAAGGTGTTATTTTGTGCAATTTTTGTACTCAAGACATTTTTGCACACCTTTTTTAAAAAATGTGTAAACATGGATCACAGACATAGGAAAAACTGAACATATTAAACTATGTTCTTGTTTGTGTGTGGATTCAGGCAGTGTAGCAAACCAAACACATTTCTCTTCCTTCACTATCAGACACTCACTGGTCTGTCCTTCAACTCACTGTCCCACAAATACCAGGTACAACAAAAGATCCCAAGTTAAATTAGGGACCAGTTTGTGTATAGAGAACTTTACATCAAACTACCAGTGTGACATTCATAAGCAATACTTTTTGTTCTTCAAAATCAGTATTCTACTAGCATCCCATGGCTTAATGGACCCATGTACCTTTCAAATACAATTTGTGCTCAGTTTTTAAAAAAGCATTTTCTGTATTTCAGATTTCACATATTTTGTTCACTGAGCTATTAAAGAGTTTATCTTTTTAAGCCTGTTAATAACATAGAATATGCTGTATTAAAATTAAAGGGAAAAACCACAACCATCTTTTACAGATGTTGTAATTGATGTAGTACAGTAAACATTTCCTGATGTAGAAACTGGGATTTTGATTTTCAGATAGTTTAGCATTCAAGTAATAATTATAGTGGTTGCTTGAGAAAAAATTCACAATTAGTTACTAAAAAGTAGGCAGTTGAACCAAGAGAAGGATGAAACAATGCAATGAAATATATCAGAGATTATTATCTTTCACAGATCTGTTCAAGCAGATGGTCCAGGTCCAGACCATCCTGCCTTTTGCAGGAAGACAAAAAGGTAGCATCTTTTTTTCCTTGGGAAACAAGTCTTGATCATTGCCTTGTAAACTGTACAAGAGTGTATTAACTTATTTTCACAAGTAATTGCTTAATGAAAACCATGGGACAACACGCTTTTGAGCAAGTGGAGCCTTCCTTGTTAGAGAATCCAGATATTTTTTATTCCAGAACAAAGTAGTGTTGGGACTGAGGTGACATCAAAATGAACAAATGAAAGCACTGGAAGTCAAACAGGGGTGTCAAACATCAATTTACAACTGACATACAGCTTGACTGACAAACATCTTGATAACAGGCAGCAAGTACAAACCTAGTTGAGCCTCCTTCTGTCTTTCAGGCTGCATGCTGAAAACAGCTGCATCATTTTAATTCAGATACTTGCCAAACAGTCTCACCTAGTAGAACTGTATGGGTAGGACCCCTTCCTGCTGCAGAATGGCTCCTTCTTTTAACTTTCAGCAGCACTGAGAATCCCATAACATGTGGAAAGAAGCTGAGCTTCATGCCCCCCATGCATCAGCTTTTCCTGGGAGCTGGGGCAACACTAATATGGGAAAAACATGAATATGTGCTGTGCACTCATTCCACATGAATGGGAATGTCCGATGTTACAGGAAAAGACAGGAAGAAGCCACATGTTGGAAGCTTCCAGACTTCTAAAGGTAATATTGGAAGAAGGACAAAGAAAATATAATGATTTGTAAAAAAATGAACAAACCAGAGTAGCTGCAATAAAAGTCAATAGCTGCTCCAGAATTCTCCACTATAAGAACATTCTACAGAAGTCTTCTAATATTTGGCTGACAGTCAAATCTGCAGACTGCTAGTATAGCACATTTCTCAAATGCTCAAGGAGCACTCCATATATGATCTCGGTCTCCATCTCTCTCTCTCTCTCTCTCATTCATTTTTAGATTTACAACTGACAAAGGTCCTTGGAGCAGTTTGCAACTATAAACCCCACAAAACAACAGCAAAATAGCCAGTGCAATAATAAAGCTAATGAACATATCAAAACATTACAAAATAGAGGACATGAAAAACTACTAGCAGTAGATTAAAGATTAAATGTCTACTGGAAGAGAAAGCTTTGAGCCTGGTACCTTAAATGTATACAGTGTGGATGCCAAACATATGTTTCTGGGATAAGCTGCCCAAAGATAGGGACTGGACAGGCACTTACAGGGAAGGCATTTTGCTGGTGGCTGTCCATTTCAGCATTGTGGGTGGCAGCACCCAGAAAAGAGCCTCCAAAGACGATCTTAATAATCAAGAAGGAACGACATTTATCCTTAGAACTAGGCAAGAGACATCTGTAGCATCATCCCCATGCTGCAGACAGCTGAGCCTAAGTGGTATCAGTTCCCAAAGAGAGCCAGTGGATGAGCTGATATTTAAACCAGGGATTTCCTGGCTCACAACTCACTCTCTCAGCCAGTATAACACATACAGCTTTTTGAGGTATTTCTTTAAAGCACAGAAGTTGTCAATAGAAATTGATGGGCAGGAGTCAGCATTGTGCTCTTCTACTGCCACACTGAGGCCTGTGTGATGTAGAATTATTTAAGTAACACACGGCAGTTTGAGAAACCTTGGCACTCGCCTTACCGTACAATCAGACTATTCAAAAACCCAGTGTTAAAGTGAAAACTTTCCTTTGGAAAAAATGCAAAGGCAGGGTGGAAAGAGAAAAAAAAACCTGAAGCTGGAAACCTGCCCAAATGACACATGTGCCTTTCTAGCAAACTTCAGAAGGAATAGATTCAGGAGGCATGAAGATGGCTAAATTAAATTTATTCACAGTGGGCTGGTTGTACACTGTTTCTTTATGTGAAAAGTATGTGGGCAATTCCCCTTCCTCCCTCAACAATATATATGCACATACAGAGCCTGGCCAGCTATCATGCAAACTGAACCACGTTTGGAGACAGATACGTACAGCTGCCAGTGTGCCGCTCCGCTGACCCATCGCCTGCATTACAGACTGCAAGGCAGCTGTTGAAAAGGGTTGTGTGATCAAGTAAGCACTCACGGGGTGCACGGTCAGAGG